CCAGCTCTGGCTAATCTGTCCTCATCTGTATTTGGGAGTCTGAAGCTGGTTTTTGAGGTAAGGTGTGTTAGAGAGACTAACAGTATGTCAATTTTGTTGGTTACTAGGAATGCTTCTATTTCGTGTTTGTGTTGCTTTATGCCGTTTGTGTTGCTTTATGTCTGGCACATTTTGCTATTTTATCATAAGTCTCGTTGTTTTGGTGGCACTGGCATAAATATCTTATGTTTGGGGCAAGTTTTCTATACTGCTTGGCTTTTTTGTTACTTGATTTGTTCTTGGTCTCTGTTGTTGGATTCTTATTCTCTCAAGTACTTTTCCCCTTTTCGAGCCATGATTTCGTGGGACATTCCATTCTATTTTTGTATACCATCATTTATCTCTACTAGATTTATATCAGAGACACACCATACTAGTTTTGAGCCTGAACCTGACATACCTTTTTCCGAGGTGGAATTCGCTTTAAAAAGACTTAAGTTAAACAAAGCAGCAGGATATGATCGCATTACGGCAGACGTCTTGAAGCATCTTCCGGAATGTGGAGTGAAAATATTACATCAATTGTGCAATGAAATATGGCACACAGGCGTCTGGCCTGAGGATTGGAGAAAGACCATAATCATACCTCTTCATAAGAAAGGTTCAACAAATAATTGTAACAACTACAGGCTATTAGCTCTAATATCACACGCCAGTAAGGTGATCCTCTACATACTGCAACGGCGTCTAGAAAACTTCATAAGTTGGCAAATAGCACCTGAGCAGGCTGGATTTGTAAAGTGCAGAGGTAGTAGAGAACAAATCCTTAATGTACGAAACATAGAAAAAGCCAGAGAATACCAGATCCCGATATTTATATGTTTCGTCGATTATACAAAGGCCTTTGATAATGTTAGATGGGACAAACTATGGAACATATTGACGACAATGGGTGTACCTAAACACTTGACTCACCTTATTAGCAAACTGTATCAAGATAACCTGGCATATATTCGAATGGACGGATATATGTCTGACAAATGCACTTTGGAGAAGGGAGTACGCCAAGGATGCGTTTTATCTCCCTTATTATTTAACATCTATTCGGAGTTCATAATGCGCAGAGTTTTGGGTGGTTGGGAGGGAGGAGTAAACCTAGGTGGTGTTAAGATATCTAACTTGCGTTTCGCAGACGACACTACACTTCTAGCCTCTACTCCAGAAGAAATTATTAAATTATTAAAAAAACTCGAGGTAGAAAGTGCTAAATTTGGACTCATGGTTAACTACAACAAAACCAAAATCATGGTTATTGATCGCCAACAACAGTTTCCTGAAACCCAAACTATTGCGGGATGTGAGGTAGTCTCATCTATGATATATCTTGGAGCTCTAGTTAACAACACAGGCAGTTGTGAATCCGAAATTAGAAGACGCATTCAACTAGCAAGAGCAGCAATGAGTGAACTAAACGGGGTCTGGCGTGATCGTCACATTACTATGACAAACAAAAAGAGACTCGTTTCAACTCTGGTCTTTTCCATATTTTACTATGCATGCGAGACATGGGCAGTCAAAGAATCAGATCGACGACGTATAGACGCCTTTGAAATGTGGACATGGAGACGCCTGCTTCGAATTCCATGGACGGCTCACCGTACAAATATCTCGGTTCTGGATGAAATTAAACCGGATCAGCGTCTCTCCAGTACCGTTTACTCTAGAATTTTAAAGTTCTTTGGTCATATCCATCGAAGTGATCACAAAATGGAGCGGTTGGTGGTCCAAGGAAGGCCTCAGACTCAACGCCAACGCGGAAGATCTCCACAGCGATGGGCGGACATTACTAAAAAGCTTCTTAATAAACAGTATACTGAGGCAATACATATAACTGATGACCGCGACCAGTGGAGAAATATTATCAATCAAACTGTCCGAGCTGCTGAAGCCCAATTATGAACCACAACACATCTACTAAGATGTTAATGACTGTGATGATGAGATTTATATAGAGTAGCTAATAGAACACCAGAGGTGTCGAAGAAAATCATTGATTAAAAATATAAGACAGTAGCCGGGAATAGCAACCACGCATTTATTTAAAACATTTTTTAACAAAGTTGTGTATGGTAACGTGATTGCCAATATTTAGAGGAATAATAAGCAGGAACGATGGTTGCGGTAGATAGATCTAAGACAGCTTCTTCAATGATCTTAGCAGTAAATGCATAGCGACCGATTTTTTTTTTTTTTTCGATTATGTGCTTTTTTAAGATGAAGCTACATTTCATAAAAATGGAACAGTGAATCGAAATTAATTACTATGTATCAATAAACCCCACTTTATTAACAGTTATAGCCAAACTAGGTAGTCTCTAAATGTTTGGAGTGGTATTGTTGGAGATTATATGATTGGCCCATATTTTTTTGACGGCCTTGTTAATGGTGCTATATATCTAGATTTTCTGAATAATCATTACCATTATTATTGCAAAATGTTCCTCGTAATATTCGTCAAAGAATTTGTTTTTTATACGACGGTGCTTCAGAATAACTTTCCTGCGAGGTGGATAGGCGGAGAAGGACCAACTGTTTGGCCATCGCGATAACTAATCGCGAACTATTGAACCAAAAAAACGCACTGCCAATACAGCAATACGCTCATTATTAGCGTATTGATGTATTGAACGGTAGTTCCTCACTTGTGACGAGGATCGATATATGCCATACGGCTGAATGATTTCGTTCGTTTGAATGATTGAGAACTTAAAATACTACATATTGAATTGCGTGCAAGGCAGCGACTTAGCTACAGACCGCGACTATTGAAGTTGGAAAATATTCCATCGGTCCCAAGCGATTGCTTTCGCTTGTGTTGTTAAAAGTTATTAGGTAGTTAAAATCAAAAAATCGCAAACTTAAAATTTGTACAATGACAATAAATATTTATATTAGGATGCAGCACATATTTCCATATAAATTTATAATTATTTCTGTTAGGTACACTAAAAACCTAAAAACAAAAACATAATAAATTCTAGCTTCTCGAATATTTCTTATAGAATCTAAGCTAAGATAAACGTACTAACATAAACGTATGAAGGGCAATACACATATATGAAATACAGTAAGCAATACTACTGGTTTTCGGTCGATTCAGCGCAATCAATCAGTTACTTATTATTTGTTTTAAACGGTAATGAAAAGTATTGAAACGAACGAATGATTAAAATGATTCGATCGTTTTCAGAGACGGTCACTGATTGATTCGGTTCTTGTAAAATGAACGATTGACACAACACTACGTCTACTTTATTACATCTTATTCTTTTTAATTCGTGAGTTACATAATTTAAGTATAACTCGTCAATGCATGTTGTAACTCTAAAAAGTAACATTACACTAAAACGTTATATTCCAATAATTTTCTGAAAAGCAAAAAACCGCAGCATTTCAGGATCTTTCAAATCTGAAACCTTTTGTGTTAGTCTTCCTAGTTGATAGTGAGCATATTTTCACAATAATTTAAAACATTTTTTGTAATTTTGTGCAGGCTTGAAGACTTTGGGTTTTTCAGTTTATTATTAGTGTATATATGTATCTAAGAAATGGAGAGTTCCTTCCTTTCTCGTTAGTAATATACATATACATAGTAGAAGAATTTATTTTTATAGTTTTTTTTTTATTTCAGGTGGTTGCCAATGAGCAAAGTTTTCAAGAAAATAGTATTAAGCGACGACCACAATTTATCGGAAATGCTCATGGCCAGCATAAAACAGCAAATCCATTACCACCAAGTTTCTAGTTTAAAACTCAATAGAGGTTTATATTTGGCATATCTCAAAATGCAGAGTTCTGTCGATACCATCGAAGTTATTGTGAGTTCCAAGTCGCCAAACATATTACCTCATTGCAAGATAAGGGATAACCCACGGGTTACCGCGTAAGTATCTCCTTTTTTTGTTTAAGTTACAAAAAACGGCTTTGGCTTACGGAAAAACTGTTGCTAAATTTACCTTCTAACAGCGTTATTGTGTTGGATAATGCACCGTATCACAACAAACGAGAGGATAAACTTCCAAAGCATCTCGAAAAGCAGATATGCAAATGTGGCTTAGAGAACGAAATATACCGTACACCGAGGATATGCTTCGGACAGATTTCTACGAACCAATTAAATTACATAAGCCTAGATTTGTTAAATATTCTATTGATTCCGTGATTAGAAATTTTGGATACGAGGTATTAAGACTGCCTCCGTATCATGCGGATCTAAATCCAATTGACCTGATGAGCTGTACTGAAAAATTTTGTTGGATAATTAGATTTAAATTAAATGACGTTACCGGATTATGCGATGAGTTTTTTGACAAATTTCCTGCAGAAGAATGGAAAAAAGTTTGTGATAAACTTATGTCGATTGAGTATAATTTATAATTTTGTGACAAAAGAACCACAATTCGGTGTCGTTTTTGATTAAATAATAATCAACTTAGGTGAGAATTCTCACTACGATCCGATTGATTGCTCGGACAATGATCTTTCGTGTGACGAACTATGTAGCGACTAAGATTAATGTTTCGGAATTTACGTAAGATGAACTAAGTGTAATAGAAGACCAGATAGTGACATTCCAAAGGCCAAAAATTAAAAAACCATTGCGATAATAGTTTTTGCTTGAAGTAGGTAGTTATATTGTTAAATTTATAAATAGTCTGGCCGCTCTCGGAAGATATTGTGATATGGGTCAGCAGAAGTATAGGAATAGACAATTATGTCTCCCAACTGACAACGTTAAGAAAGAAAGTAAATTAAAAAAGAATAGTATTAACTGAAAATGAGGTATATTATAAAAAAAATAAACGAAATAAAAAGGGCAATACCTTTTTCCTACAACATTTTTCTAGACCATTTTGTGCTTCAACGCCATATATTTGGCTTTTTAATTCATGAGAGCAATAACTCTATAATTTTACCTTAAATACCAACACGCTCTAAATAATAAATGATTTCTATTTTAGAGAAGAATGGGGATATCTTAAGCAATTGAATCGTCCAGAAGTGGTAAACAATACCACAGAAGTTCAAAGGAATTTTCTAGATTTAGTAACGAGTGCATCGAAACGTCTGTTTAATTACATGGACGTCAACAGTGACGATATTATTAGTCATAGAATATTCGAATCGAATATCATTGAATTAAACGATGAAGTTAGTTTTATAGTTATATGCCCGTCTGCAGAGTTGTCGTGCGCAGTACCGGGACAGAGGGAGCTTCTGTTACAGAGAGGTGATCTGCTTAGTTTACCAATTAAGGTAAGCTTTTTACTTTCGTTTTAAATAGTTTATAATAATATACCACTTGTAACTGTTAGAATTAGGCACTATTTTGTTTTCATAATCTAACATATAATTTTAGTTTTAATATGAATCTGGGTACACACATACACATACCACTCAATAACTCGCTGGCGTAAATCAAACAATTTTTGGGAATAGGTCTTCTTAGAGAATAATACACATCTATAACAATTCGAAATTCTTTTTGTAAACTGCTTCTAAAACTATATTTTGTCATGCGCCTCAGTTTCAGCATGCCCAGTTCATAATTCAAACAGATAACATTCTTACTAAATTTTGTTGTAATCTGACAAAGTGTTGTACAACGTAATTGATATGGCAACCCTGTTAGTATGACGTTCCATTTGAAGCGTTTCGAAGCCGAAAGTAATGCTATCTATCGATGATAAATATTACCAATATTTTAGATGGAGCCACCTTTGTACACCACTCTTGTTTAACGAGATTTTTCATATGTTTAGAAAAATATATTCAACAGTTTATTACAAATATTTTACACTTTTACAGTTTTATATATGTTGTTATAGCATTTTTCATATAAAAATGCTTGCAATTCATTCAAGATTTACGACGTGAGAACCCCACAGCGTTGCCAAAACATTAGAATAGTTAGTAAGTGAGGAATGTTTAAAATGTCAACTATATATCAAACTATTATATTAACAGTAAATGCACTTAGTTGTAAGACTACTGCAACACACTACATTTTAATAGAACATTTTAATACAAAATTATATTCTTAATTTTAAAATTACCTCTAGTTTAGGGCTTCAATAGTAAAAACGTATTGCCATTATTTCTTGTTCAAAATAATCTATCTTATATGAAAGCTTATCAGCTTTCTACAGACTATTTATTTATTTTAGCATAGCACAATCACAATACACAACAATAATTAGTTTTTAAAGCTATTAATCTAAATTTAATATGTATTTATAAATACAATTTATTAATATATATTATATTATGATCAAATTGTGTAAGAAATCAAAACATAAACAAAATTCTTACTCTAAAAAAGCGGCAACACTTAAAAAATTTTGCCACACGTTGAACTGTCAATAAAATTTGAAGTATTCCCGTATTTATTTTATTTATCGTATGGCAATTACAACACATTTAGAACAAAATTACAAACACTAGTAATATAGGTATATGACAAACTTTAAATAATTACAAACAAACATCAAGTGTATTAACATAATCAATTGACTCTGAAGTTGCAAACAGGAAGTCTTCAGGGCTACAGTTATAAGATCTTGAGGGACACTCTTCAATAATGTGGTCGATCGTTTGGTCCTTCCCACAGTCACATTGAGGAGACGGATTCTTTCCCCATTTATGTAGCATGTATGCACATCTGCCATGTCTGGTTCGGATCCTGTTTAGAGTGGACCATGTTTTACGTGGAAGATCAAAACCTGGTGGCTTGTGTGTAATACAGGGCATGTTATTTTGCCATGCATTCCATTCTTGGGACCATGCATTCGTGATGTTGAACTCCTCATGTATCATTCTTGCCGTTTTCATTGGTGGTTTTCTAGAACGTAGACGGGTATTTCGTGCATCCTCGGTATCTTGGTGGATCGGCAGGTTTATATTGTTCATGATCTTTTTGTATTCACGTGTAAGTGCGTCAACTCGTCGTAAATGTGAAGGTGGAATGTGACTTAATACTGGAAGCCATTGGGTGGGAGTTGATTTAATTGTACCAGATATCATCCTCATAGTGCTGTGCAGCTGAGTGTCGACCTTTTTTACGTGTGGACTGTGTAGCCAAACTGGGGCACAATATTCAGCGATCGAGAAAACAAGGGCTAAAGCAGTAGAGCGGAGAGTGAAAGCCGATGCTCCCCAGGTGGTACCGCAGAGCTTCTGTATAATGTTATTTCTTGTACTCAACTAGAACTCAACTTGAAAGTATTCCCGTATCAATTACGTACAATTGTCTAATATATTTAATGAAAATTATCATTTTGTGTAGTATTAGACTTAAAGAGTTATTTCATAAAATTTATATTATTAATAATAACAAATGTTTTTGGTTATTTAATCAATATAATTATAAAATTCCCAATATAATGATGATTATTTTTCTGATTAAAAAATTTTATTTCAAATCCTTTATAAAAGGTATATAATAAAATACCCAAACGAGCTATCACAATTACATTACAGAACGTTTTCGGAATGTTAATTCCATCATCAGTGTAAACAAAGTATACATGCTATGAGCCACTAAAATATCAAAACCCGTTAAATGTTGTTAATTTATAATTGTGTTACATTATATCTTGTTACAAATAAGATGTTCAAGTTATCGTTGAAATTGGCAACATGGCTACGTATGACCCTACATAGGTTATAAGGTCCTGAGACAGTGTCTTCGAGAACCAGTTGTTATCAATTATATCTTACTTACTTACTTTCTCCGTGGCGTTACAACCCTTCGTGGGTTTTAGCCGACTCTACAACATGCCTCCACTGTTTTCTGTCTTGAGCAACCTCCATCCAATTCTCCACGCCCAATGTGCTTAGTCTCCTGCTATATTATCTCGCCATCGGAGACGAGGGCAGCCGTGTGGTCTCCTTCCAGTTGGAACTTCCTCCCACACCAGTCTTACTGTTCGTTCGTCAGAATGTCTTCTGAGCTGTCCTGCCCATTGGAATCTTCTGGACTTTATTTCTTTTCTGATGTTGTCGTCTGGGTAAAGTTCTCCGAGCTCTTTGTTAGTTCTTATCCTATATTGTCCTGATGCTTCATCCAGCACAAGATCAAAGATCTTCCTTACGATTTGTCTTTCCCAAACACATATTCTCTCCTCGTTTGCCTTTGTTATCGTCCACGTTTCGCTTCCATACATCACAACGGGTCGTATGATTGTTTCGATTTTATAAGGTTTTGGAGGGCAAAAAGACATATGTTGTCGGCCTGAATCCTGTTGTTTATTTCTTGTGATCCGTTATTGTCTTCAGTTATTGTTGTTCCAAGATACTTAAATTCTCTAACGCGCTCAAAGTTAAAATCATCGATGGTGATGTTCTGACCGATTCTGTCTCTGCTTTGGTTATTGCGGCTCATATACATATATTTCGTCTTGTTTTCGTTGATTTGGAGCCCCATCTTCTCTGCTTCCTTCTCGAACCTCACGAAAGTCTCCTTCATCCTTAATCGTGTGTTTCCTATTAGATCGATATCGTCTGCAAATGCCAGTAGTAAGTTTGGTCCTTCTCGATGAAATACTGTATTAGGTTTTTTGATTCTTGCACTTCTGATTATGTGCTCCAGAGCTAAGTTGAAGAGTTGTGGTGAAAGTGCATCTCCCTGTTTTAGTCCATCTCCCTGTTTTAGTCCATCTCCCTGTTTTAGTCCATTGTTTATTTCAAATATCTCCGAGTATTGTTGTCCAACTCTCACCTTACATCGTAACCGTTCCATATACATCCGTATCAACCTGACTAGTTTTTTTGGAAAGCCAAGTTCCTGCATCGCTGTCCATAGTATGTCCATTAATACTCTATCAGATGCTTGTTTAAAATCTATGAACATCTGATGAAGCTCACGATCTAACTCCCAGCATTATCCATTATCTGTTTTATTGTGAATATCTGGTCAATAGTAGAGCGGTTCGGTCTAAATCCGCATTGATAATCTCCAACGATTTCTTCTGTGTATGTTTTGGTTCTTTCTAGCAGGATGTTTGCGAGGATTTTGTAGGTGGTGTTTAGGAGTGTTATTCCCCTGTAGGTAATACATTGCTTTTTGTTTCCTTTTTTATGTATTGGTGCAATAACCCCTTCTTTCCATTTATCTGGTATTGTTTCTTCTCGCCAAATGTCTTGAATTAGCTTGTATATAGAACTGTACAACGCTTCTCCTCCATGTTTTAAGCACTCTGCGGGTATACCATCGCTACCTGGTGTCTTATTATTTTTAAGTTTTTTAATTGCCTGTATTACTTCTTCGTATGTCGGGTATTGGTCTTCTATTTCAGCTGTATGTACCTCTATGTTTGATGTATTTCTGCTAGATTGGTCATTCAATAGTTGATAGAAGTATTACTTCCAGATTTTAAGGATTTCCTTGTCATCCGCGATAAGCTGTGATACTGTCGTTTTGAAGGAAGTTTCCTGTTCTTGCTTGGTACTCGGTCTTGATATCTGAAACTCCTTTGAAGAACTGTCTCGCTTTTTTGTTCTTTGTTTTTTCTTCTATATCTCTGATTGTTTGTTCCTGATACTCTCTCTTCTTCCTTTTCATTAGTTTTCTTGTCTCTGTTCTTCTTTGTCTATACATTTCATTGTTGTTGTGCGAGGGGTTTTGTAGCATGTTCCTTCTAGCCATATTTCTTGCTGTTATGGAGTTCAGGCAATCATCATCGAACTATTTTTTTGTTGTTTTCTTTTTGTGTCCTAATATTTCATCCGATACGCTTGTCAGAGCTAATTTGATATTTTTCCAAGCTGAGTCTATGTTGTTATAGTCTTCTGTCTGTGTTAGAGCGATTTTTATAGCCTTTTGAAATTTCTGTTCTGTCTCCTTATTACGTAGAACTTCGGTTTTCCATAATTGTGTTGGTGTATTCTTTTGTGTTTTTTTGTACGCTATTCTTGTCCTTATCTTCGCTTTTACCAGAAAATGATCCGTGTCTCCATCAGCTCCTCTTAGGCTTCTTACGTCTAGACAGATACTACCCCTCCTGGCATCTACTAGAACATGATCGATCTGATTTCTTGTGACGCCGTCGTTGGAGACCCATGTTTGTTTGTGTATTTTCTTGTGTTCGATTTTATTAGTAGGTTGTGGGACGCTGCAAAGTCTATTAACCTTGTTCCATTATCGTTGCTGACATCGTGAAGACTATGGTTACGTATTGTTGGTTTGTACGCTGCTTCCTTCCCAATCTTTGCATTGAAATCTCCTAAGATAATATGCATGTCCTGTTTGGGTAGATTATTTATCAGTTCCTCTAGTTTCTAGTAGAAGTTATCTTTTACATGCTCTTCATTTTCCTCTGTTGGTGCATAAGCATCAACTAGGGAATAGTTATGTAGTTGTCCTTTGAATCTGATATAACAGAGTCTTGCATTAACGGGTTTGAAAGTTAAAACTGACCCCACAAGACTTTCCTTGACTATAAAACCAGTGCCGAATTGATGTTCCCGTTCGCTTCCGCTGAAAAATACTACTGATTTATTAGTTTTTAGTGTACATTCTCCAGTCCATCTAATCTCTTATAAAGCAGTTATGTCATGTTTCTGGATTCAAGTTCCGTGACCACCTATAGGGCTCCAGGCCGATATAGGCTTAATACTTTCCAGGTTCCTATATTCATTGTCATTTGTCATCACTTGTGTCGTCTTAAAAGATTCGTCCTTATCCGAGGCATTGTGCTTCGTTTACTAACTATATTTACAAGAAAAAGGAATAGTTAGTCCCTTGCTTAATCCTCCTCCTTTCTCATCCTGGACTTGGGACCAGGCAACGGCGGAGATTAATTATACCGTTTGGGTATTTTATTATATACCTTATATAAAGGATTTGAAATAAAAAAAATTTGATACATGGTATACCGCCAGCTACAGGAACTTAGTTTCCTAGTGGATTTTCATCTATATTTGAACTCTAAGGTTGACGTTTTGGAAATTTTAAACGTAAGTGACGTCACTTTATATAAATAGTGACGTGCAAGCATTTTTATATGAAAAATGCTATATTAAAATTTTGTCCGGTTTCTTACCGGTAGCTTTATTATAAGTCGGAACATATTATTTTTTCCTATTGTGGCAAAACTGTACATTCAAAAAAATTTTTAAAATTCTTAAGTATTTCTTAGGATTATATCTTTATACTGTAAGAAACTTAACAAAATTGTATGTTTGGTTTTGCCGCTTGGAAAAAGTAGTTTTTTTTTGAGTTTTTTCGAAAACGAAAACATCTCAAAATTTGTCAAAATACTTCTAGTAATCACATACACCTAAAATTTTTTCAAATTTTTTGAATGTGTAGTTTGTGTTTTGGTGGTGCGGATCAACCTCTGGGGTTTAGCATTCTATAAGCGTCTATATTCGTTGATATGTGACAAACACGTTGCTAACTGCTTTACCATGTCTATTTTTAAGGTATTTGAAATGATACATTTGAACACCTACAAACCGAACATCACCAAGAAGTACGCGAAGCTAAGCTGCAGTTTGGAACTTGATATAGCATCGGCCGATCACCTGCATAGAGAAGCTTTTTCCAACACCGAAATTGCAAGCGCCAAAGCGAAGCTTTTAAAACTTCAGGAGTTGCAAGATAAGATGAACAATATATGGAACAGTGTCAGGTGGTTAATGAACGTTATTACATTTGCTAGAGATCGAGTTTCACTGGGTATATCTATAAGGTAAATTTCAGTTAAAGAACTAATATAGCACTTATAATATTCCTTTTTGTATCGTAGATGTCTTATGCAAACAGAAACTACCGATTTCGGAACACCGGGTCTACTACAAATCCCTCCAGAAGAGAAATTGTTAAAGCATACACTAGGTCGAGGATCTTGGCCAGGTCCTGGTCATGCAATGTCTTCAACGAACCTTATAACAGAGTTCAGTAAAAGTGAACAGAACCTCAACATTAACGAATACACCAATAATTATAGTAATAATAGTATAAAAGAACCGGTAAGAAAAGACAGCATTACACCGGCCAAAAGCGAAAACATGCTGTGCCGGTTAGCCACCCCTAGTCAACAACGAGAAAGAGCAAATACCATATGTAACATGTCGTCCAATATAGAAGTACCCCTTCTATCCGTAAAACAATCCAACAGTCTAGCCAGTATAAACACCATAAACGTAACAGATACCTCAAATAGTATACAGAGCGTAAGCTCTGATAGTGACTGTAGCCTACAGCCCTTTATGGGATCGTTTAACAAAAGACGAAAATCCAAAATGGTGACTTCCAAAAGTATGATAAACGTCAAACAAAGCCTAAAAATCGAAAAAGTAAAATCTCCAAACAGAACTTTATTACACCCAGATCTTAATTCCAGTTTATCGAAAAGTCTGACCAATTTTAACGCTTATGTAGATGTAGAGGATGGTACAAAGGATACAGGGTTATGTCAAAGTGATTCTAAGAATGAGAATGGAATTCTGCAAGTGTATGCGGCCTATGAAACTGGTTTGGCTTCTGGTATGTATTTGAAATATTTCTTACCCTTCTTTATCGGCATTGTTGCTACATATATCTTCTTAAACTTCAATTTTTAACATTTTCTAAACAGGTTTTAGATTTTTTTTGGCAGTTATAATTAGCATATCATACCATACTGTTACGATATTACTAAAATATGGGTTCGTCATATGGTACTTCTACTTAAAAACTCAACAAGTCGAGAAATCTACACACTCAAAAAAATATTACTTGTGAATCCTTCTGAGCACCAATTTTAATAGAAATATTTGTTCTTATTACAAAAGAACCAGACAATTCGATACATATTGCCTAGTCTGATTGGAAAAAAAAAGAGATTCGTTAAAAAAGTTAAGAAATTTTGCTGTAAATCAATTTCCCTAACTACATTTTTATTGATCTATCCAAGCCGTTGGATAGATCAACCAAAAATATTGATTAACCAAGGGTTACATGAAGCTGAACAACTAGCCCAGGACAGAGAAGGATGGAGGGAAATCGTGAAAAAACTATAAAGGCCTAATGGTGTCACCAAATCCCAAATGGGAGTAGGACTGAGGAGGATGATGCCAAGAAGCTCTCAAAATAATGAAAATCTCTACAAAAGCCACAGGAGGGACCACCGCACGTAAAGAACTTTTCAGTGGCACTGTGTATCAGTACAGTATGCATTTGCACAGAAAGTACTGCAAGAACTGAAACATATGCGGAAGCAATCAGATGATGTACACATGATTGCAGAGCGCATTACAATGGTACGAAGACATTTCGAGTTGCAGTTCGAATATATTCATACTTAAAATGAACTAATTTCGTACCACTACGGTTCAACTTTCCCCTCTGTGTAGATAAGCATAATAGTTAGAGCACACCTAATAGGTTCAATTATTAACTAGTGAAAAAGCTGTAGATAACACCCGATTTTCTTGACGTTAAAGGCCTACATTTAGTTTAAAGAAGTCGAGTTATACGTATATCGTTTTATTTTATTAAAGAATTAGTAAGAAAGAGGTGCTCTTGTAAATAACCCCCAATTTTCTGATGTCATACAAAACAAGAACAGAACATAATACTTCTCAAATACACAAGTTATCATGAGATCATTCCAATTCAGAAGTCTAAACTACTTCTAACACTGAACAGTCACTTTACAGCTCTGTAACTCAGAAATAGTTGATTTTTTGGTGGTGTTGGGTCTAACACATGCGCAATATGTTTCAGAGGGGTGAACATTTAAGCAACAGGTATCTGTAAAATATAAATCTGCGTACTCATTACTTTAGGGGCCGACCGATACATGCGTAGAATGTTTTAGCGGGATGTAAAACGTGCCTTACGTATCCGTTAAACGTATACCTCGCAAAATTCTTCATGGGGTGTACACATGCCTCTGCAGTTCTGTCTGCACCGAGACTGCTGAGAAAGATTCATTGATATCAACTGCGGTTGCGTACAACTCGCTCAAATCTTTTACATATGTGCCAGTCCCTATAGTATCATTTGCGCCTGTGTACGTTTCATTGATACTTACTGCGCATGTGTACACCTCTCCGAAATCTTTAGTTCGCTCTGTGCAGCTATATGTTTTAATGATCTCTACTACCAGTGTGTACATCCTCTGACTGAGGATATGTATGTTTCGCATATTTTATGTACCAGTTCTTCCAGTACTTTTTATGGAAGTGAACACAGTACTGATACATTTTGGCGCAAGCCACTGAAAAGTTCTGCGCAGGCATCCGTCCCTCCTGTGACTTTTGTGGAGATTGGCATTATTTTGAAAGCATCTGCGCCTAGAAGTCTCTACAGAATTTTGTAGTCCTCTACAAAATTAGGTAGACGTCGATGTAGGAAAGTGGGATATCTCTGTAGCACTGTCCTCGTTATTAGTGAGACTTCCCCATGGATCAGTGGGGTATCCCCCTTATTTCTTGACAAAGGCGCGTTTAAAAATGTCATTCCTACTTCCGTGTTTCATGAGATTCAGATGCCGTAAATTGACTGTGTGGAACGCTACGCTTCGAAATTCATAATTTTAAAAAATCAACTAAAAACCGAAACTTTGAAGGTCTGTAACTTAGAAACAATTCAGTTTTGAGTGTTGGGGCAATGAAAACTTTTGATCCACTTATACATAAGTGTCGGGGTACTTTAACCGAATAATAAATTTGCACTCTCTTAAATAAAGAAATATTCATGAGGAAAATTAAGGCATTATTGGCGTGGTAGTCATGTTGAGGTTGTAAGTAACAACTAAATCCTGTTCTGCATGGAACAATCATCTATATTTCCAAGGTGAACCTTATCTCAAGTCTACAAAGCAAATCATGCAGGTATTTTATGATCTATGACTTTTTATTTGTTTTTTACTGTAAATTAGCTGTTCCATTTGAGATGTCGGTCTATATCATCTAAATCCTATGTGTTTTCGTCTGGTTATATTTCCAGGTTTTTTTTTAAATTATCTTCAATATTATTAGAGACAACACCGTGTTGCCAATCGTATACTTTTCTCTTGTTTCTTGTATTGTTTCTACAAGTTCCACCCTTTTCTTTTACTTGCATGGTTATAAATAATTATTTTTACATACTATAAATGTTTGGTTTTGTGTTATATTATTTTTATTCTTCGGATATTAGGCTGCCTTTTTTATGTAGGCAGGTTAATAGTTTTTGAAATTATCAAAATTAAATATCATGGTTTATTATAAATTTGCAGGAACTAGTCTAAAACTACATGTAACACCACAAACCACTGCACGGGAAGTGGTCGATCTAGTTGTAAAACAGCTCAACATGGCCGTCATTCTCAAGGGCAAAGATGGTCCAGTGTATGACGTCGACAAGCTAAACAATTTTTGCCTGGTAGCAGTGATAGGTGCGAGGGAGCGTTGCCTTAGGGATGATTTCAAACCTTTACATCTTCAAAACCCTTGGAGGCAGGGAAGGTTGTACGTTAGGCAGAAACAAGATGTTCTAGCCGCTCTTGAGCATAGTAGTAAACACACTTTGATTATTTGAAAGTTTGTTATTTAAACAAATATGTTAAAAGTTGACAGATTATTAAAGTGGCATTTTTATACTTTATATTCTAAAGGTTTTTAAACGAGAAAAATTGGTTTAAAATGGTTGGGAAAATTGGTTTAAAAATGAATGTAAATAAAACAAAAGTGATGATCAACATGTCATAATAGACTTGAAGTGGGATTGAAAGTTTCGAAGATTATAAATACCTAGGTCACACGATCAAACTGGGCAACCATAATCAAATGGCAGAGATCACTAGAAGAATCTGAATGACTAGTGTAGCGGTAGGAAAACTCGAAAACAAAAAGATGCCAATAAATTAAAAGAAAAAAGGGTATTCAACAGTTGTATTCTACCAGTTATGACTTATGGAATGGAGTCCGTAACACTTATAGAGTTATCAGTAAGCGATAAAGAAACAACACAGAAGGACAATGTATGGTGAGGAATAAAATTATTAGATTACGTCTTTCACATTCTGGACCGAGGATGTCATCAACGTAGAGGTAACCCACAGAATTGGAAAAAAATCGTGAGCACAATTAAACAAAGAAAACTTGAATATCTAGGCCACAAAATTGAAACACGACAGTCGAAGGCCAGGTAGGAGAAGACAATAGACCCCAACGTTTGCAGGGGACAGGACACTTAGAGGGATAATTAAGTAGATGGCTTTTAAGAGATAAATAAATATAAGAAATGGGGAGGAGGTACATGAATAATGCAGGTATAATTTTACAGTGGTTGACACTATCTACCAAAAGTTGAAGATTTCATACAACAAATAACACCGTATTAACGGAGATAAACGGAAGAAGAAATAGCCGACTCAATTTACTTGTAATTCCAATTCGCTTGTATTTGTACAACTGCGTTCGAAAAATTTTTGGTTGGAGTGTGGCTCGAACCATAAACCTATAACAAAAATCAGCCTAAGGTGGTCAAATAGAAGAAGATTAGGTGCTAATAAGTCGATCGTAACAAGAACATTAAAATGGTATCGTTGCTCAGAATCGGAAGCGTCATTGGGGTGGATAAGGATATGACTAAAGGAAGAATAATAGATAGATAATAGATTGCGTGCAATGAGACTTGGCAGTGACCCTCAGGTCGAATCCCCAAATCTGAAAAGGTAGCTGCGAAAGCAGCCATGGCCTGTGAGCATTCGCGTCAGATAATAATTGAGCTACCTATGGCCACAGTCCACCCAGCTTCGAAGGTTCGGGATTAGTGACTTCGTCCACTCCGCCTCATCATGTGTTGCCTCCCACTTTTGCTGCTACTGACCCATTGAAACGAATCTCTCGACCAGTCTTATCAAATTCATCTCTCGCTCTCCAATGTTCCGCCCCCTTCGACTATGAATCCTTGCCCTTTTACCTGCCAGCACATGTAAAGGAACACAGCCAGTGATCACCCCACAGAGCGGCCGCTGACACAGTCCTGTAGGCACATCCTACCCGCAGCAGACTAGTTCTGTCCTCGCGTGTCTTGATCCTCTTATAAGTTGGTATTTCTACCGCCTTACTCCAGACTGGGGCCGCGTAGAGGACGACAGACTGCACAACACCCTAAAGCTCCCTTCTCCTTTCGGATTTAGATCCACTGATATTAGGCAATATCCTCCCCAGCGCAGCCATTCTCTCAATAACTCTGCGGGTCATCCCCTCACATATTCTCCCCAACTCCCACCCTGGTGGAGAATAACTCCCAGATACTTGACGTACTTTTTGGGCGTCACTTTCACTCCCGCGCCTTCAACTTCAACTTTATCTCTTTTTCTGTAGCCTCTGAGTACTACAGCCTCCGTCTTATCCTCCGTGACGGAATCTTATCGCGGTCTTATCACAGAGACGGATTATTTGCAGTTTAATACCCCGACATATATCAGGTTCCACAGCGACGGAGCCCTGCGGAACCCCAGCCGTTACATCCACATTTCACACCATTTTCCAATAGAATTTTCCTCTCGGAACGATAATCAGCGACCACATTCCTCAGATACTCAGGACAGTTCCTTGCTTCTAAAGAGGTCATTACTTGACCCCAGTGCAATGTATTAAAATAATTTCAGACGTCAAAGAGAATCAGCTCGAAGCACATCAGTCACCGCATCCTCTGTACTTTTACCCTGACAGAAACCATATTGTCTCGGAGACAGGCCTCCAGACATTACAATCACCTCCTCGATACGTGCACGTAGCATTCTCTCATTCATCTTTTCGATACAAGGAAGGAGGCAAATAGGACGATATTTTCCTGCCTTGAGTTTAGGTAGAAGCACGAGCCTCGAGATGTTCCAGGTATCCGGAAACGACTGCACAGCAAGAAGAGACATGTGCTTCAACAGCCACGTGGGCTCCAAACGGCTCAGACTTACGGGAACTCACCGCCACAGCCAGTTCATTCCAAAGTATAGGGAATCTCACGCTCAGCCTCGACGTCTCTCCGCACACCATCCGTCCTTGTGGAAACAGTTCGGTGACTATCTTTAGCTTCTGGTCCAACGGCCTGTCATACAGAGAACAGGCATCGAAATACTTGATTGCGATCTTATACCCTTCAACCCAGATATCCTCGTCCAGCTTGTCACACAGTCCCCTCCAGTGCCTCTTCTCAGCTCGGATCCTCCTATTCAACTCCTTTTTTTTCTTACGGTAAATCGTATTCACACGTTCCACCTCTTCCGCGCTCCAAAATATGCTCGCTCTTGTCAAGTGCCGGCGAAGGACCATGCACTCTCTTCTCAGTTGCTCTATCTCGACACACCACCAGTAAGGTATTCTACCCTTACGCTCAGTCCCAATTTTACTCATATGCATCGCGGCTTTCATAACCTGCTCGAGGACTTCCACCGAAGGTGTAACACGTCGAGCCCCAAGTACCTCCCATCTAATACTCTCATCATATACACCCCGATCCACCTGATATCTCCGGCACCTCGACAGGCAAGGTTTGGGTCTACCCCCAACGTCCCCCGTCTTGCCAATCAAAAAGCTGAACATAAAATACCAAAGTCGTTAAAAGATTGTAGATTAGATTATAAAATTAAATACAAACATCAAGAATATAAACATCGAAATGGGAGATTGAGGTCTAATCACCAAAACTATTCAGTATGATACTGTAACATGCGTTGAAAAACTCAGACTGGAAAAGAAAGGGAATTAAGATAGGCGGAGAAAATTTAAACAACTTACGTTTAGCTGATGATATATTAATAATGACTGAAGATCTACGGATGACAAGAGAGATGTTCATAAACTCATTGAGGTAACAGAAAACGTTGGTTTAAATATAATATATATAAATATGAAAAATTTAGTGACTAACCAAATCATCAACGGAAAAAAAATAAAATTAGTGAATGTATATAACCTAAGAGGACAGGGGCGATTTTAACAAAGTTAACAAAAACTAGATGGAGAGCAGATGGGGAGGCTAATGTTCAGTAGTGAACTGTCAGATCTGAATCATGATGATGATGCTGCGACCTTCTATAGAAGATAATTAATCATTTCAGTATATCTGGTAGCTCCAGTTAAGATGTTTTAAAGTCTAATCCAACTGCATTTCAAGTTGTATAAATTTAACGAGATCATTACTTTTTAATGTGATGTCGAAAATAAAAAGTAATAAAGTAATAGTAAAGTAATTTTATTATTTCCAATGCTTTTATTGGCTAGAATAGGTTGAATTAAGTTTGCCACATATACAGATTGAACGAATTTAAAACGGATCATACAATTTAATATATGTCTGTTTGAACTGCATTTGAAATAGTGGACCAATATAAAACTTGGACAAAAATAAATCCATATCCGGTGATACACATTGGAAGGATGGAGGGAAATCGTGAAAAAACTATAAAGGCCTAATGGTGTCACCAAATCCCAAAAGGGATTAGGACTGAGGAGGATGATGCCAAGAAGCTCTCAAAATAATGAAAATCTCTACAGAAGCCACAGGAGGGACCACCGCACGTAAAGAACTTTTCAGTGGCACTGTGTATCAGTACAGTATGCATTTGCACAGAAAGTACTGCAAGAACTGAAACATATGCGGAAGCAGTCAGATAATGTACACATGATTGCAGAGCGTATTACAATGGTACGAAGACATTTCGAGTTGCAGTTCGAATATATTCATACTTAAAATGAACTAATTTCGTACCACTACGGTTCAACTTAATTTAAAACGGATCATACAATTTAATATATGTCTGTTTGAACTGCATTTGAAATAGTGGACCAATATAAAACTTGGACAAAAATAAATCCATATCCGGTGATACACATTGTATAAAATATAGTTCAACTATCCGTCTCCTTTTAGAACGTCAACCAAAGTCCCCAAGAACCCAAAGTCAATGTTGCCAATCGCCGTGTAATAATCCGATTTGCGGATCTTTTTGAGAGTTATATCTTCTTCGTATCTTTAAATAAATCGGATATTTGCCTATATTTTTCATTGTATTTACCAATCTACTACAAGAGACTAATAACAAAAATAAACTTAATGATTTGTAGTTATTTCCTTTCTTTCCTGTAAATATTTTATGGTTAACAGCTTATTTGAGAAACATCTAGAGGAATGATACTGGCAACACCGCTCAAAATCTCCATCTCCGATTAACGAAAGAGGGGCTTGCCTAAAGGCAACCACTCACGATACAGCGGCGTTGTTCAACTTCGTTTTTAACTACACACTTGCTTTGATCATATTATAGAAAATCAACATGGCTTGATTTAGCGAGAATTTTTTAAGAGAGTTTTTTGAATTATATAAAAAACAAGAATGCTTATAGCGAATAAAAGGTAAAACGTATCACGATAGAAACGCCCGAAAACAGACAATGGACATTCTAGTTTTAAAGTTCCAAGAAGTAAACAAAGATGCGAATGAAGAGTATGTAAGAAAAAAAATTAACAATTTTAGAACATTCTATAAAAGAGAATTAAAATTAGCATTGTAATCCAGTAAATCGGGTGCAGGGGCAAACGAGATTTATTTTGCACCAAAATCTTGGATTCTTTGCACCAGAATCTACGTTTTATTTTAGGTTTCTTTTTACGCTTAGTTATACACAAAGTAAGAGACGCTAAAATGATTGTTTGATTTGACATGGTCGAGAACCGAACAAATACTGCGGCGCAGTATGGTGTGTGAGCGCACCAGATATACCAACAAATTGAACAACGCCTCTGTTCGATTATGTTGAACGACACCGCTGTACCGTGACTGGCCGGCTTTAGGAAGCGATAGGTTCAGAATCCAGCAGCCCGTTGAAATATTGGATTTTTATAATATAATTATTTGACAACCTTTTGTTGGCCAGCCACCTAGAGCGGAGTTGAGCCGAAACACATATATTTCGTATGTTCCGAATTTAACTCGTTCAATCTGTATATCATTGTTCATTATTAACAATAAAACGTCAGTGACCACTTAGCTTTTTAATGCAAGGCCAGTGGTCTGGTACATACATTTTATGCCATTTTTCAGAATTTGTAAAACTAATTATTTATCTATAGCATCTATAGCTATTAGCAGTTTTTAATAAATTTAACAGATACTGCCGTAAAAATACGCTATAAAATCTAAAAGAGGAAGAGTGGCTGTTTAGATAACAATGAAAACTATTTCAAGAAACTATTCTTCATAAATTTGATTTATTTTTATTAATTCACTAATTAAAATGGATAACACCCCTTTTTATGATAAATGGTCATGTACTAGTCGTAAAGACAGACTCGTAAAGTATGTCATAAAGCTCTAAGTAGCTAACGACGCAATATAAACTAATAATTCTAAAATACACTTTAATAATCTGAAACTTTCTAACGCATTTTCGTAATTACTGTTTAAACTTTAATGTCAGCGAGTTAAGTGGCGAGATGTAGTAGCATAATAAGCCACACCTGGCTTATTAAGGACAATAAGGAGAAATAGTAGAAGAGCTTGAGGTCTTTAACATTGTCGAACCCGCAAAATATGCAGATCCTTTACGACCTACCGCTCGTAATCTAAAAGTATATTTTTTATTTTATTTATTTGTAAAAATTGATGCATTTTCACAGCGATAAACTACAGTATTCTAAAAAAAATAAAATTCTTTAAAAAAGGTTGGATCAAGGTACATTCTATTAAAATACATAGGTAGTCTGAAAAGTTTTTGGCCTATTAGTGAAATCGGCAATTTATGCTTATAAAGTTTATTTATAAACATGTTTTTTTTTCTCATATCGATATATTTCATCTAACAGTATTCCAATACCGTTCTGAAGCTATTTTCTTGTAGCATCTTGTAGTAATTACTATTTTAATTGGGAATAATTCACAATTTTAAGTTCAAAATAAGTTTATGGACGTTTCAATTTCCACGGATGTCGTTCTCAAAATACCTTTTATCTCTACTGTCTATATTTTTATTTAACAAAATTTCTTTGAACCTATTATTTTGCACTTTGTCTAATGCGTTCTCAAAATCAATGAAACAGGCATACACCTAATGATTTAGATCTAGACATGTATGCGAAAAACACTCTAATTTCTTGTTTATTCTATTGCGAATTACCTTTAAAAACAATTTTAAGACATGACTCATTAAGGCTTTGGTGTGATGTTCATTGCACTCCTTTGCATTAGCTTTTTTGGGAAGCAGTATAAAGCAGCAAATTGAAAAAGAAATTGAAACTGTCGGACACTTATTGCAAAAAGTTGGATGCTGCTCTACTTTTGACACTTGTGTCGTGATACAAGAAGGTTGATAAAAAGGACTAATTGATAGCTAAATTTGGAGCAATTAATTAATTTGTATCAATGTAAACTTATGAGTTATGAATTATGGGATGTTACAAGTGAAATTTATAAAGACAGATTAAAAAAACATAATGCTTTTAAGAAAATGGCAGAATATTGTGGAGTTACAGCAAGTCGTTATTTAGACCAATTTTGAATTTGATATCTTGCTTTGATATCATTGAACTGACCCAATTTTATAAGCAAGTCTTTCGAAATCGCCTGGCTTCATTCTTAAAAAATTCGAAAACAGTGCTGGATTCTCAATAATGAGCTCAGACATTCAAAGAAAGAGACTATACAGGATAGAAGTGTCAAGTATACGCAAAATATGTATACAAGGTGATTTATTAAGAATATTATAATCTCTGAGAGATTGGACATTCTTAATTCATTCTGCCCAACATGCCGTATACAAATATTACTAGTTTCCGAGATACAGGTCTTTTTACATCTTTTCTATTTCTACATGTTTATAGTTGAAATATTATTTTAATTTTAGCAATACCTTTATATTTTTACAATTTCTGTTTGAAAATTGACAATCTTACGTTTTTGGCACGAGCATTGCTAATTTAGACTCTAATTTAGCACTACCAATAGAGGGCACTAGTTACACTTGATTGTGTTTGTGTTTCCTAAATTAAAGCAAATTTTTTCGCCGGGTAAACTATGGGTAAAATGATAGATAAATATGAAGTAGCGATATATCTACAAAAAAAGTTACTGTTGTTTGATTCATGTAATTCGGTCGGTTATCGAGTTATTTGCTTCTAAAATTCCAATCAATTTTTATTTTAGAATTAAAAAAAGTTTCTCCAACTCTGTGTAACAATAACAAATTAAAAACCAAAAATAAAAAACTTTTTTTTTGATACGATTGTTTTTACTGAGAAAGCAATATTTACACACGAGGAATATTTAATTTGAAAAATAATCATTCGTGGGATTCTGAAAATCCTCATGTTATAGGAGAAGCGGAATTTAAATGGACCACTGTAAAGTTCATCATTATAACGACGTATTGGTCGTGGAAGTAAGTTTGCTTGACCACCAATAAGTCCTGATTTCAATCCTTTGTATTTTTCATTTGATCGCAACTAAAGGCCTTAGTTTACAAAAATATAATTAATTCTCTTTTAAAATAATAGGCAAGGATTATTTTCTATTAAGAGATCTTTGCCAAATCGGATCATAAAGTACCTATATTGAAGTAAATGGTGGACATTTTGAACATTTGCTTCAAAGTTTTTTGGTTTTTTCATAAATTACTTTAATTTGTTATTTCTTTGATTTACTAAACACAATCAAGTGTAACTAGCGCCCTCTATTAGCAATGCTAAATTAGAGTCTAAATTAGCAAACCTTGTAACAAAAAACCTGAAATTGTCAATTTTCAAATAGAAATTGTGAAAACATACAAAGTTATTGCGAAAATTAAAATCCATATTTTAACTTTAAACACTCTGTATCTCAGAAACTAGCCATATTTGTATAAGGCATATTGGGCAGAATCCCAACTATCACCCTGTATATATATATATAT